GTGTGTTCCGGGGGAAAATGGGGTTATTGGGGTGTATTCTGGGAGAAAACGGGGGTTAGCCCCGAGAAAATGGGGTTACTGGGGTGTGTTCCGGGGGAAAATGGGGTTACTGGGGTGTGTTCCGGGGGAAAATGGGGTTATTGGGGTGTGTTCCGGGGGAAAATTGGGGTTTATCGAGAGAAAATGGGGTTACTGGGGTGTGTTCCGGGGAAAAATGGGGTTACTGGGGTGTATTCCGAGAGAACACGGGGGTTAGCCCCGAGAAAATGTGGTTACTGGGGTGTATTCCGGGAGAAAATGGGGTTTAGCGAGAGAAAATGGGGGTTTGCCCTGAGAAAATGGGGTTACTGGGGTGTGTTCCGGGAGAAAATGGGGGTTTGCCGAGAGAAAATGGGGTTATTGGGGTGTATTCCGAGAGAAAATGGGGTTATTGGGGTGTGTTCCGGGAGAAAATGGGGTTACTGGGGTGTATTCCGGGAGAAAACGGGGGTTAGCCCTGAGAAAATGGGGTTACTGGGGTGTGTTCCGGGAGAAAACGGGGGTTAGCCCTGAGAAAATGGGGTTACTGGGGTGTGTTCCGGGAGAAAATGGAGTTATGGGGGTGTGTTCCGGGAGAAAATGGGGGTTTACCGAGAGAAAACGGGGGTTAGCCCCGAGAAAATGGGGTTATTGGGGTGTATTCCGGGAGAAAATGGGGTTATTGCGGTGTGTTCCGGGAGAAAATGGGGGTTTGCCCTGAGAAAATGGGGTTACTGGGGTGTATTCCGAGAGAAAATGGGGTTATTGGAGTGTGTTCCGGGAGAAAATGGGGTTTTACCGAGAGAAAATGGGGGTTTGCCCTGAGAAAATGGGGGTTTGGTGGCAGAAAATGGGATTTTACCCTGAGAAAATGGGGGGTTACTGACAGAAAATGGGGATTTACCGAGAGAAAATGGGGTTTTTCCCTGAGAAAATGGGATTATTGGGGTGTATTACGAGAGAAATGAGGTTTTACTGACATAAAATGGGGTTTGCTGACAGAAAATGGGGGTTTTTCCCTGAGAAAATGGGGTTATTGGTGTGTATTCCGAGAGAAAATGAGTTTATGTGGGGTTGAGTCCTAGAGAAAATTGAGTTATTGGGGATTTTTCCCTGAGAAAATGGGGTTTTACTGACAGATAATGGGGTTTTACTTCCAAAAAATGGGGTTTTTCCGAAAGAAAATTGGGCTTTTCCCTGAGAAAATGGGACTATTGGGGTTTTTTTCCCTAGAGAAAATGTTTTCGTTCTTTTTTTTCCCAAGAAAATGGGGTTATTGGGGTTTTACTGCCAGAAAATCGGATTTTTCTGAGAGAAAATGGGGTTATTGGGATTTTACTGTCAGAAAACTGTTTTTTTCCCTGAGAAAAATGGGGTTATTGGGGTTTAATTCTAGAGAAAATTGGATTTTTCTGAGAGAAAATGGCGTTATATGGGGTTTTCCCGATAGAAAATGTTTTTTTTTTCTTGTCATAAAATGGGGTTATTTTTTTTTTTCCTGAGAAAATGGGGTTATACGGTTTTTTTATTAGAGAATTTTTTTTTTTTTCCTGGAGAAAATTAGGTTGTGTGTGGGTTTTTTCTGCAGAAAAATCGTGTTAAGACCAGGATTCTAACGCATGGAAATAGGGGTTGAATTAAGCCAGAAAATTTGGTTTAAATTAGTTTTTTTTCCCCAACCAGTGCACCAAAGACAGCAGCCAGCGTCAGCCCGCACACCGGGCCCAATCCTTAATTTTTTTTTTATTTTTCTGCGAGAAAATTGGGTTAAATTTTTTTTTCTGCAGAAAAATCGGGTTTATATAAAGGTTTTGAGGCATGGAAATAGGGGTTGAATTAGGCCCGAAGATCGGGTTTAAATAAGGTCTTTTTTTCTGCAAGAAAATCGAGTTTATAGAAGGATTTTAACGCGCGGAAATAGGGGTTGAATAAAGATCCATTAGGCCCAAAAATCAGGTTTAAACAAGGTTCATTCGGGGTTTCAGTAAGGGGTTTCCGGCACGGAAATCGGGGTTAAATAAGGGTGTTTCCCGGCTCAAAAATCGGATTTAAATAAGGTTCATACTGCACGAAAATGGGGTTTAAACAAGATTTTTCCCACAAGAAAATCGAGTGTGTACATCCATTTTTCCCGGCTCGAAAGTCGGGGTTAAATAAGGGTTCTTTCCGCCTCAAAAATGGAGTATAAATAATATAAATAAATGTTTATTAGGCGCGAAAATCGGGTTTAAATAATGGCTTTTCAGGCTGGAAAGTCGGGTTACAAAAGTGGTTTACTCACCCCCAAAATCGGGTTCAAATACTGGGTTTCATCCCCTTCGAAAATCGGGTTTAAATAAAGGTTTATTCGGCCCAATAATCGAGTTTAAATAAAGGTTCAATCGGCCCGAAATCGAGTTTAAATAATGCGTTTTTCCCGGTTCGAAAATCAGGTTTAAATAAGGATTTATTCGGGTCGAAATCGAGTTTAAATAAAGGTTTATTCGGCCCAATAATCCAGTTTAAATAAAGGTTTATTCGGCTCGAAATCGAGTTTAAATAAAGGTTTATTCGGCCCTAAACCCGGGTTTAAATGAAGGCGTTGGGGCGGTGCTGGAGGGGTTTTGGAGGAGATAAAACCGGGTTTTGGGGCGAAAAATCGGATTTTGGGGAGACAAAACTGGTTTCGGAGGAAATAAATCGAAGTTTGGGGAGAAAAATCGAGTTTGGGGGAGATAAATCCGATTTTTTTTGGGGAAAAGACGGGTTTTAGGGAGATAAATCGGGTTTGGAGGAGAAAAATGTCAGTTTTGGGAGGGGAATGGAGTTTTGGGGGAAAGAATTATTGAGTTTGGGGAAGGAAATGGGGTTTTTGGGTAGGGAAATGGGGTTTTGGGGGAGAAAACTCGAGTTTGGAGGAGATAAATCAGGGTTTGGGGTGGAAATGGGGTTTTTGGGGAGGAAAATCAGATTTTTGGGAGAAAGAATCGGGTTTAGAGGAGATAAATCAGGGTTTGGGGGAGAGAAATCGGGATTTTGGGGAAAATAATCGGGTTTGGAGGAGATAAATCGGGACTTTGGGGTACATAAATCGGGATTTTGGGGACATAAATCGAATTTTGGGTGGTTAAAAAAAGGGGTTTTATGGAATAAATCGGTGGCAAAGGCGCCTGCACTGCCTGGACCCCGCAAAGGTCGCGGGGTGAAGATCTCCTGCCTCCCCCACGGCAATTAAACAGCGCTAATTAAAATTTCCCTGCGGTCACTGATGAATTTTGGGGTTCCCCAGATCACCCCAAAACCCCCAAATCTTTTCTCGGCGCTTCCTGGGGCGCGGGCTGGGGACATTTTTGGGGTGAAATAAATCGATTTTCGCAGCTTTCCCCTCCGGGCTGCGCTGCCAGGGCACAAATTGGGGCAAATCGGGGCAATTTCGGGAAAATGTCGCGGTTCACGCGCCCTCAGTAAACACCGGAGGATCCTTGAATTTGGTCATGAGGAGGGAAAACCCGGCCGGGAGCTGAGCCCCAATTCTGGGGAAAATCCACGAGAATCGCGGCAAATCCTCGGCCCCGATTTGGGCAAATTCCGGGAAAATTCGGGGTTTGCCCTTCAGGACCTCGAGTGCCCCCAAAGCTCCGGAGTCCCCTCCCCCAACGCTAAAATTCCACCAAAAAAGGGGTTTTTATTTAAAAAAATACCAAAATCGGGGCTCGACAGAACGGAAAATCGCAGCTTGGGGAGGTCTGAATGAACTCAAATCGCCCGAATCCGCCCCAAATCGCCTCTGACCGTCCCAAACCGAAATTTCTCCAACAGCGACCCCAAAAAATCTCCAAAATCTGCCCAGCCCGGCGCATCCCCCTCCAACGCAACACTCGGGCGGATAAATCCCTTTTTATTTATTTCTATTCCCGTCTTTCCGCCCACAGAGCAAATCCAACCAAAATAAACCTTTTTTTTTTTTTTTTTTTTTTTTTTTCCTAGAG